CTCCCCTCTTCCTTTGTTAACAAAATACTACTACTTTGTCCGTTTTTAAACATAATAGCTAGGAAAATAGTATGTAGGCATTACAATAATTAATTATTTAAGTTAATTATTTATAATGACTATGTGTTTGTTTTTTTAAAAATACTTGTTTTAATTATTTGCATTAGAAACTGCTTTTTGATATATGATAGGAGACAAAACCTCGAGAGAGTTTAGGAAAAAAATTATAATTTTGGAAGATAAAGTAATGAAAGTCTTAGATATATTCAGGATAAAAAAAAGTCTCTTTAATTAATAACTCTTGTATTTGAGATGAGAAGGAGTACTAGAAGACATTTTTAACTAAAACATACGAATCAAGAAAATGGTTAGATAGCTAAGATTCTAGATTTGTTCAACTTTACCCTTTTTAATACTACCAATCATTAATTATTTGTTAAGTAAGGGATAAGTAATTTTGATATGTATACTCTGAGGACAAAGTGATTAACATAGGATTTTATAAAATATGTCTCACATATTTGAAAAATATATAGCAGTAGCAGTATAAATTATGTAACCAAATTACTCCTTTTTTCCAATTTGGGCTCACATAATTATTCTTTTTTTTTTTTCATTCACTACATATGTGAATTTAATTATTATGTTTTTTTTATCATAGTCAGACTAGTAAATGAAATAAATCAGTATTTTGATTAATAATCATATGGTATAACAACCAGAAAGACAAATGGGACCAAAACATATGTTAAGGATAATATATAAAGACATGTGAACAATAGACTTTTTGTTTCTCCATTTGTATATAAGCATGAACTTGACAACAAAACACACATTATTTTAGGTGTCGCTGGGAATTCTGGCATGCTCTCATCATATCATCCTTAAAAAACAAGCACGCATGCATATAAATTAACAAATCACTTTGTAAATTAATTGTATATACTAATAGATTAAGAGGATTATTTAATATATAACATCAGATACACATGATGAATTATTATTGCATCTCAATCTAATCCTTTTAGTTTCTAGTCAAAATCAATATGATTCTCTCATGATCAGCTCACTTATGCAACAAACTCTATCCATTTGGTTTATACCATGTTATGTACCCTAATTAACAAAGTTGGCTTTGTGTGCGTGTGCTATATTTTTCCTGGAAGAATGACAATTAAGGATCCTATAGAAAAATTAATACAAAATAAGCACCTGTTTACTACTGAAATTTCAAATTTTATTAATCTAACTTCTGTATATTTACAACTTCTAAGTTCTTATTTTACATTAATATTCTTATAAATTAATGTTCTTCATAGTCATTCTCCCTACTTTTTCCCTACATGTGTTTTATTGTGGTAAAGTATATACTCTCATTTTATAAAAAAAAAAAAAAAAGACAAAAAAATACCTGTTGAATTTTAAAAAGACAGATAGTTCATGCTGACTATATTCTTTTGTATTGGTTTTGACATGTTAAAATCACCTATTTGTCATTTTGAAATTTAACAAGTGTTTTTTTATAATTTTTTTATTTATAAATGAAGCAACGGCATTTTTTTTGAGTCTCTAGGAAGCTCTTGACAAATCATATCTCTGTAACCCATGAAGAAATAATGTGCTACATGTTACTCATAGTTCATATAATACAATAATTTGTTATGGATTTTATATGCTTCCTCCATTAAAAAATTATTCTTTTTTTTTGTTTTAAAACTTTTGTTAACTTATAAATGCAAGGTATAGTCGATAGCCATTTTTTTTTAATTATATCCTCATTTAGTGATTATCTCGATAATTATTTTAACCACCTATAATTATCTTTTTTATTATCATGTTTTCTTTTAATTTATCATCCTCTACTCTTCTATTACTCTTATTTTCCTTCTCTTTGGTTCCCCCCCCCCCCGGCTAAATTAGCATTAAAGTAAGTTTCATTCCAAGCTCTACAAAGATACCTCACGTCGTCGATGATCCATCCAAAGTAATTAAACTAATCAATCATTTACATACCAGAGGCAAGATAGCAAACTAATTAATTAAGTTACTAATACCTTTGGTGCAATAACAACATATACCATATTCTATATTATTTTTATTGTATTATATATATTATTATTATCTCTAATCTCTTGATCAAGAGCTGAGAGAAGTCCAAATTAGAGAAGCTACTACCAACAAGATCTTTGTTTTATGATGTGAAAGACACCCTGATGGCTAGTGTGCTTAATTATTGCCGTTATAATTAATTCTTCGATTTCATTACTATCACACTCGATATAAATGCAGATGAATTACAAATAGATTAATTTATGTAGAGGCTACTCAAAAAGAACAATCCCTAGTCTTACCTTTAACTTTAATTATTCAAAAGAATTGTAACAAATATAATTAGAGCTTAAAACATCTAATACTGAGCCACAAAACATTCCAATCTTAAAACATCTAACAACATAAAATTAAGATCATGAAACCCAACCTAGAACTGATAATCCTATATCCCTTTCTGCCCAATGCATGCACACACATCTACTGGAATGAAAATAAACAAATTAAAGCATCCACAATACTGATATGGGACGATTGTAGCACACCATATATATATTTAGGATGCCAACAATTATGAAATTTTTCTGCCGGCTTATTACCCATAACATTTAGATACCCGAAATTATATATCTCCACACACATTTTGAAAAGAAATTAACATCCCAGTTTGTCTTTTTGATCGAATTGAGAGTCTTTGATGTGACTTAAGGGTTGAAAGGGTTAGGAGGAAGTGGAATAACAGGGAAATTTTGGTAAATTAAATGAAAAGCTTAAAATCTTGTCATATCAGCACCAGATAAATCTAGCTAGTTGTAGGGACTCAGCCAATGTTGGACAACAATAATGACTTTTAGATTCAGATTTTGGAATACGACTAGCATTGAGTGAGTGATATGATTAGCATGGCTCAGCCGACATCGGATGAGCCATGATAATCATATCATATACGACTGTTTTGTGGATTGATAAGGATTTCTATTTTGGCAACTAGGGTTTCAAATTGCTTATGATGGTAATTTGTAGTTTATCACTATATGAAGTTTGCTCTTGGTTATGAATTTAATGGGTGGAATCTGAGGTTCTTTGCTTGTTGGGCCAAACCCTATGATAAAGTGTTGAAATTTGGGGATTATGCCGTGAATAATCTTGATCTGTCTATTCGAATATGATTTTGGTATTGGTGGATTGAAAGTTAGTGGTCTTTGATTTTTGGTGAATTTCCTGTGCAAATTTCCATTACGTGGAGTTGGGATTGGCTTTGTTTTAAATGATTGATAGTGATATTCTTCATAGATACCATCAATTGAATATTTTGGATTCTATATATGGAACCTTTTGGACATTTTGGATCGTAGAATTATAAGTGTCTTTTTTTCTCCATTAAGCACAAGGATCTTTCTATTGAATCCAACTTCGGGGGTGTTTGGCATTCTTAAAACCGCGGTTTCAGAAGCATTTTTCCGCAAAACGAGGTAACCTTCTCCACATATTTGCTTGGTAATCCGTAAAAACACTTTTGAAACCATGGTTTGGTTTCTACCCAAACACTCTCGAATCTACTAGACTTAATTTTTATTGATATGTAAGTTCTTTTTATTTTCTTAAACTTGAATTTTGGTGATTCAAAAGTTATTGGGCCCTATAGGCATTGATTTTGGACTCGTGACCCAACTTTGAAATTGGATTATTTTGAGTTAGAAGTGCCTATTCTCTTAAAAGGTATAAAGGAAATATAGCACCTTTTTATCTTAATTCTAAACCTCTTAACCAATATGGATTGTGTCTAATGTAAAGGGTTACTCTTAACAATGTATTAAATAGAATTATCTTCAATAACATGACACACATGTGGAGAAAAAAATTATTAACCCCTTATCACCCTTGAAGTAACCTAAGGCTACCATTAATATCAATGGAGAAGAAGATGGAATAAATAGCTCAAAATAGCCCATTAAATGAGTGTATTTTAGTCATTTTATAAATTTTTTACATTAATTAATCAATAATCATTTCTTAACCCGTGTGCTATCATTTTAAATAACTGTTTCCGAATGCATGGATGAGATATCTCCTTGAACACATTGCTTTCTACTTTATTAATCAAACAAGTTCGGAGTGATTTTGCATTACTACTAACTTATAAATAGTATGGTTTATTATACATTTTTTTTTGGATAGAAGGTCTATTCTACATTTTAATTTTATAATAGGTTGATATAGATACATTAAATACATACAGAATTAATAAAAATATTATTTATTACTGTCTCTATTTCTTAATATAAAGAGCAAGTTGATGATTAGGTTTGATCTTAAACATAATATTATTCAATATACTTTATCTCTTATATTTATTATTTTTTCAAACTAATTTATTTTACTTATAAACTGATACAATTTAGTGTAGAAGTATTTTAGATAGATTTTACCATATTTATTATAATTAACTAGTTTATTTGATTTTTTGTTGGATACAACTAGTTTATTTGATTTTTTAATCTATTTAAATCAGGCAAGTAATTTTTATATTAAATATCAATCAATATTATTTATTAAGTTGGGAATGGATGATGTAATTAACAAAACTCTTGAAGTCGACATTTCTATTTCTTTCGGCAAATTCATCCCCAAAAAGAAAAAAGAAAAGAAAAGAGAAAGAAAAAGAGAAAAGCTCCCTTAATCGCATATTATGTCCGACACGTCAAGCTCTAATTGGTCCATCTGACGATGCCTGTAATTCCCTTAAGGGGTTAGGATCTGATGCAGCGTCTCTAACGTACACCCCTCATACACCAGCTCCGACAGTTGTCCATCTCGGACAAAGTTACCCTTAGTCCCTTACCTTTGGTCTCTCTGATCCAAAGCCCGAAGTTGTGCCTCTCGCACAAAGTTGAAGAAATTAACTCAGAAAATAAGCTCGAACACGCTTCCATAGCCCTCGTTAATGCAAATTTGATATTGAAACACAGAAACGGAAGCGAAGGATAATAAAGAGGAAGGCTAGGAAGAAGAAGAAGTAGTAGAAGGGCGAAGCGTGAGAGAGAGTGTTTTCCGCCCTCTCGCTCACACATTTCACAGATCAGATCGAAATCTGCCCAATTGTTAGTTTCGCAATTTTCCATCTCTAAGATCCAATTTTTTCTTTTGCTGAGTGAGCACTTGAATTTGTTTTTAGTTGGGGGCGATTAGGTTTTTCCGAATCCAATGGCGTGCATAAAAGGGGTGAATCGATCGGCCTCTGTGGCTCTGGCGCCGGACGATCCTTACATGGCGGCCGGAACCATGGCGGGGGCGGTTGATCTGTCATTCAGCTCCTCTGCCAATCTTGAAATATTTAAGCTTGATTTTCAGTCGGATGATCAGGAACTGCCTTTGGTCGCCGAGTTTCCTAGTTCCGAGCGGTTCAATCGTCTATCTTGGGGGAACAACAGTTCTTCGTCTGAAGGTTTTGGTCTCGGCCTTATTGCCGGTGGACTGGTTGATGGGAACATTGACATCTGGAATCCCCTTACTCTGATCCGGTAATTGAGTTTTGCTTTAGAGCCTTGTTTCTTGGTCGACCTTCGAAATTGAATGTCGTCGAGGATGTTTCTTCCTTTATTTTATTCTGTTTTAGTGTTTTTAATGAGGGGACCTGCCGTTAGAGTTTCAAAAAGACAATTTGAAACTTCGTCTTTCAGTTTGTTACTGGATCCACGCTAAATGGCTTTCAAGGATTATGAACTGATTAGCGCTCCGCCTCTAGATGCATAAATTAGATACTTGTTTAAAGTTAAGTAATTCAGGAATGGAGTGCGATGAAGATATATAGGATTATAAGCTCTTTATGCTGATTGCATTCAACTAGATATTTGGCAACTTTCATGTATTGTGATGCTCTTCCGTGTAGTGCATTGAAGATTTCTGAATAATTACTTGATGTCTTGTTATTTTGAGTTAGAATAGGAATTTTGTTTGATATTGTATTGCCGCTAATTGTATACCATGCATTTTGCCATTGTAATTCTTTCAAGTTTCTTGTGCTTTTGTGTTCGTTCGCTGACCTTTCTTTTTGACGGCGCATGTTGAAAAAAATTCTTTCAACTCCTCCAAGAGTAGGTTTGGTGGGAAAATATGGAAGGAAAAGAGATGCAGATTAAAATTATAAACAACAATATATCGTTGAAATATTGCACCGTTGTTTGAAAATCGTTCTAAATTTGATTTGTTGTGAATTTAATGTTATTTGTTTTCCATTTTTGCTGAGCAATTAGATGGATGGTGGTCTCTTTCCGGGCGACGTGAGTGGGCATTGATTTTAATACTGGCTATTTTACTTCTATTAATTGATAATTGATCCTAACTCAAAAATGATGTACTTTCAAATCATTATGTATTTTATGGTTGTCTTGAAAATAAAGGATAGCCATTGACCTTTGGAAACCAAAGGGTGCATGATTGCTAGTTTGGAGATTCTCTTCGATTTGATTTAAATTATTGATCCAAAGATTCGTAAAACTGAATGTTTGGTTCTATGATTTTTTTCATTTGAAGGTTGCACACAAATTTTCCTGTTTTTCTAATGAACTTACTTTTTTGATTTATTTTCTCAGTTCGGAAGCAAATGAAATGCTTCTGTTGCACACCTTGAGAGACATAAAGGACCTGTAAGTTTTCTTTTCCTATTTGAATGAGCCTGCAGTTCGTAAATGCTCTTCCTCATCTAGACTATGTATTATTTTCTTGAACTGTTGAAAAAAAAATGCTACCTCTGAATTTTATGTTTCAGGTTCGAGGTCTTGAATTTAATTCTATTGCACCAAATCTTCTTGCATCTGGGGCTGATGATGGTGAAATTTGCATATGGGATTTGGCCAATCCTTTGGAGCCCACTCATTTTCCGCCACTCAAGGTCAGATTTCCTTCCTTTGAGTGCGTACCTGTGAAATGCCAGCGTTTTACTAGATAAATCTGTGCTCTATCTTTGAATGTCTGTCCTTTTTTTTTTTTTTTTATTTATATAGTTTTAAGGATGAACCAGCACATCTTAGTGTATATAATTACGGTGCAGGGTAGTGGATCTGCTAGCCAGGGGGAAGTTTCATTCTTATCATGGAATAGTAAAGTCCAGCACATTTTAGCATCAACATCTTATAATGGGACCACTGGTGAGAAAAGATTATCAAAATTTTCTTTACATTATTCCCAACCATATTTTGGTTAGAATCCTAGATTTATTTATTTCATTTTTTTTGAACATTTTGAATTTTTTCCAGTGGTCTGGGATCTAAAGAAGCAAAAGCCAGTGATAAGGTAAATTGATGGCTAATTATTGATTCACCATCTTTTGCTTTTGTTTTGTAAAGGGCATGCAAAATTTTTGATAACCTGGTGTATCATATTTGAAATGACAGCTTTTCAGATTCAGTTAGAAGACGGTGCTCAGTTTTACAGTGGCATCCTGATATTGCCACACAGCTTGTTGTT